CGATCTTCACTTCTGGTGCTTCGTCAAGAGATTGCCTTTTGGTCCAAGGTGCCACGACTTGGATTGAGGAGGGGGAAAGGGAGGACCGGATCGGTGAGTCAGGTGAAGGAGAGCCGCCGCCATCGTCTTTAGGGTTTTCGCCATCGCCTTCGAGAGCCGCCGCCATCGTTCGGATCGTATTTTTTAATTGTACTTCATTTAAGTTAAATATTAGTATTTTGTGAACTTTCCTTTTTTTATGAAACCATATTATATATATACTTATTTTTCGTTTTAAATAGTTTTGTAAATTTTATAAATATTTCCTTTTGATTTTATATTGTTATTTGGAAGATTTTAAAAAGGAAATAATAATATTTAAATATATTTTTAATTCATTAGGGGTATCATAGTAATCAACCAGCGTGAGAGTTAACGTGAGCGCGACACCTAAGAAAGTGACTTCTCAAATAATATTATAGAGATACTATGTCTAACATATTGTAAAATCATAAATTTTGTAATAATATGTTGGGTGTATGTTATTCTAAACTAATGTGGTTAAACAAGTAAATCTAATATATTAAGACTGAAGTACAAGTTAACTATAAACTTTAATCCTCCTCTATAATTACAAATGAATGTCATTTTATTTTTAATTAACAAATAAATTTACAAAAAATAATAGGGATTATTGGTTCAGTATACCTAAATGGACTAGAAATTAGGAATCTACCTGAAACTAAAAAATCTTACTGTAGTCATTTGTCTCCCCTTTTCTTGTTTTACCCCTAACCCCAAGACACGTAAACTAGAGATGAGGAAATGTAGATTTAACGTGATCTTTTTAGAAATTTTTTTAGGAATCTATTCAGATGTAGGTCTGCAGCTATCTGCTTCCCAACCACTCATTTCTCCTCCTTAACTGTTTAACAACAGATTCATTATCTATTTATGTTATCTGTTACATTATAAGTTATTGTTAAATTTATTCATACTTATCATGTAAGCTGTTAACTAGATCATTAGTGGTTACAGTTCTTACGTACTAGTGTTGGCAAAATAAAACAAACTGACCACTTGAATGTTATTTGTTAATTTAAGCATTTTTTCAAGTGGTATGATAAATATAAATTTAATATCGATTGTTAGATGTAACAACTATATGTTATCATTTACTATCGATTATTAGATCTAACAACTATATGTTATCATACACCAAAAGGGTTAGGTAAATATATTGGATTCAGTGGTAACACTAGATTTAAAGTAACTTAGATTCGTGCCTTTTGTATAAGTACATGTTCGTATTTAATATCTTTTGTTAGATGAGAAAACAATAGGTTATCATGTAATATTTTGACAGAAATATATTGTGGTTTAGTATCATATAATATTTTAAATGCTAATGACATTTGTTTATGTTAAAATATTTGTTTGAGGATATCTTTTATAGTATGGTTCTTGAAAATTCACATCAAAATTGTTCAGGGTAGACATTTGTTTATCTCTTTAGCTTTCTTTTCTTTGTTAGATGTTAGTATTTATATCTTTTATTAGATGTAACAACTATGGGTTAATGTTAGATGCTAATGACATTTGTTAATGTTACAATATTAATTAGAGAGTATCATTTAAACATCCACATCAAATGGTTCAGACATGCATCTCTTTCATTTTTTCTTAGCTTCAATTTCTTTAAGTTTCTTCCTATTCCTCCTTCGTGCGAGATCATTTGTGGTAAGACAACCTACAAAAATTTCCTTCTTGAAAACATGGCCATCACGTATAAGGTGAACCATGTTGTCAACTTGTTGGTCCTTGATATCATCATCTCAACCCTGACCAGCTTCGCTTTAGGGAGTGTCACCTACATCATCTACTATGACATTAAATCTACTTGTGTAATATAACAGTCTTAAATAAGTGAATCCTCCAGAGATAATGTCTAACAAAATTTAATTACCCTACACAAGTAGTTAGACTTTACAAAAAATATTGGATTACAACAATATATGCTAGTGGCTACTACTACTTGATAATGGCAAAATTATTATTACCACACAAATTCTCTAAAAGTTTATGTTTGTAATTACTCACCTTTTGTTTTTCATCTAACTTTCTAGTATGTGCTAGATTCACACAGTTCCAGATAAATACGAGCGGAGATTTCTACATTTAGTGAGTAACGAAAATAGAAAAGTGAATGGCTAAGTACAACAATATGCATGCTTGGAATCATTATATATCATTGTTAATTGTTAAGTAATAGTTTATACGAAATAGGAATCATTAGTGGGAATTTGTCTGAATGATATAAAAGCTCAAACCTATGAATATGTTTGTGTAATGGTTACGAGAATAACTTAACTGCTACAAGTATAATTAGTTTTTAAGTAATAAGTTATACAATATCTATATATGCTGGTTGTAAAAATAGTGAAATGCAATCACTAATATAGGTTGGGGTAAGGATTACGAAAACATCTTAATAGCAATTTTTATATTTAGTTGACAATACAACAGTATTTATGTATAGTAATATATGTAGATGGTAATATAATAGTAAAACAGAAACAAAAAACAAAGAGAACAAAACTAACAAGATCAGTTAGCATCTTAAGAAAATAAATAGAATAGATATCCAATAAATGAATTGCAGTTAGTGGCTGTGTGGACGAGGAGGAACACCAACCAATAAACTCTATTTTGTTAAATAAAGCTTTGTATTTTACCAATGAGCCTTTAATTTTCTAGAAGACTTAGGATGAACAGGATGGGATGAAGATCTCCTTCACACAAGGATATACAGAGGAATAGGGGAGTTATTAGTACATATTATAGGAAGTGAACCCGTGAACAAAAAAATGTGTGAAATTTGATGAGGGATCTAAATTCAAGTACATCTTCGTAGTCTTGGGAGCTTGCATTGAAGGGTTTGCAGTGATGAGGAAAGTGATAGTTGTGGATGCGACATGGCTGAAGAATGGATGTGGCGGTGTTCTAGTGTTCGCAAAAGCTCAAGATCCTAATTGTCACGATTATCCACTTGTGTTTGCAGTGTTAGATCGAGAGAATGATGCTAGCTGGACTTGGTTTTTTGAGATGCTTAAAAGTGTTATACCAGACTCTTTTGAACTGGTTTTCATGAGTGACAGAAATAAAATCATGATCTCCACTATAGCAAACGTGTTTCCTCAAACTCACCATGGTCATTGTTTATGGAATTTGAAGGAAAATGTGAAATGTCATGCTTGTAGCGTAAAAAAGGATATAGTCGGGCATAGATTCATGGAGTTGGGAAGATATTACACGGTGGCTGACTTCAACACCTCTTACGAATCATTTAAGATAAGCTATCCTTCAACCTACAAGTATGTTGAGGAACATACTGAAAAGGACAAATGGACAAGAGTTTTCTTTCCACGTGACAGGTACAACTTGGATATAAGCAACAGTGTGGAATCCATGAAGAACGTGTTTAAAGAGGCAACAATGTGGGCCTTAATACCAATGCTGGATTACATCATCGGGAAAGTCTCTGATTGGTTCAATGAACATCGGAAGGATGCTGTTGTTGGATCAATTGATAGCAAACTGGTGCCTCTGGTTGAGAACTACTTGTACGAGCTATGGCCTGTTCAACAAAAGCTACTTGTGCGGGAGCTTGATAGTTATGAGTATGAGTACGAGATCATCAACACTGAAGGAAAGAAGTTGATGGCGAGCTTAGTTGAGAGAATTTGTACTTGCAAGGTGTGGGATAATGAAAAGTTTCCTTGTCTTCACGGACTGGTTGGTTACATATTTCACTATAAACGTTGGCAGGCGCATTCATATCCATGAGTTCTGCTCAGAATACTACTGGTCGGAGCTTTGGGCAATGGCATATTCCAGGACACTTAATGTTATACCCAACCGGTCTTCTTGGAATGTACCGGATTACATCAAGGAGGTGAAGACCATGCCTCCGGATCGCATCGCACGGAAGGGAAGGAAAAGAGTAGGAAGTTAGTTGGTTCGATTTAGGAGTAATGCATTCAGCATCTGTTATCTGTTTATTTTCTGTTGTATGCTTCGGAAAACTGCGTAAAACTTGGTTATCTACTTTGTTTCTAATGAAATTATTATCTATATCAAAACTCGGTTATCATAATATTATCTATATTAAGTCTCGGGTGTGATAGTTTACATTTGTTTTCTCTACTAAGGTTTATAATTCTAAGAAAACTCGGTTATCGCATTTTTGAAATTTTCTTCAATCTCGTGATATATCTGTTATGAAACCTTGTAATTCCAATCACACTTTTCAGTGAAGAACTTCTTAGAGAAGAATTTTTGAGTTATATGTATTACGCCCATATTATTGTACTGAACAGTATAACTTACATTTGAAGTACTAAAATCGAAAGTAAAGCTAAAAAAACAAATTTTAAAAACTAGTAACACTAATTAAATTAGAAATCAGCAAAAGTAGAACTATGACCAAATTTCGTAACCTTAGTATCCTATGTATAACTAAGAACAAATTTCTCGAGGGAAATGAAAATTTGTTTTGGCGCCTAAAAAATTAAATTTTAAAAAACATTTCTCTATCTTCCCCCATCTTTCTCCATACCTTCACTTTTCCT